ACTCCCGGTCGGGGCGGAAGGTGGGCGAGAGGAAAGTCTCCCAAAGCGGAGGGGAAGGAGTCCTGCGCCTCTTGCAGAGGAGTTATAGTTCCCAGGCTGGTGAGTCTCTCCCTCCCTCTTTCTCTCTCTCACCGCGCCGCAGTTTGCTCTGTCTCTTGGCTCCGAGTCTGGAGACCGTGCTAAAGTGGAGAGGAGTTTCTTGAAGGCTGGTTGCTGAAGCTTCCAAGGCAAGTTTCTCGCCGCCTCCCAGGCAAGTCTTTTTTTTTTTTTTTTCTTCCCCTGAAGCAGTTGATTCCAGTTCACTAGCGCTCTCGGGAGCTCAGGAAAGCGACATCGTCTGTATCACTTAGTGCCTTTCTTACAATGCAAAGCAAAAGAGACTGGCTCCAGGACTCTGTGGGCGGAATCGGCACTAAGGAGTTTGTGTAATTATTTTGTTGCAAGGTTGGAAGCCAAAAAGCCTTCATGCAACAGACTGGCATGAATAAATGTATGTTTTCCCCTCCCTTCTGCAAGAAGGGAGCTGGTAATGGTAGAGTTCCTCCAGTGCAGACTCTTAAAGAGCGTGCAAGAACTAGAGACCCTGGAGCGAATCCGGCCTCTTCCCCTCACACACTGTTTCTCTTGCTGCAGCTTAGAGCAGACCCCAATTCCGCCTCGCGCCTCTTTATCCTTTCACAGTCTTGGCCCGGGCCAATCAGCTGCTGTAACCAACGCTTCCTCGTGCCAAGCCCCTCCCCCGGGCTTCCCATTGGCTTGGAACCCGATGCAATAATAATCTCCGCGTGCAATGAGAAGCTCCAAATCTGACCTCATTCCAATTTACAGAGCAAACTTTTTAAAAGGGCTAGAGAAGTACAGCTGAGATTTCTGCTGCCTCTTTTTTCCTTTTGCTGTGTGTGTGTGTGTGTGTGTGTGTGTGTGTGTGTGTGTGTGTGTTCGCGCGCGCATGTGTGCGGGCGTGTGTGTGTGTGTGTGTGTGTGTGAAGAGGATGTTAATGCATGAAATTATTAAAGGGAGAGACGGAAATGTATTCTAACCATTATGTTAGATAACAAGGGGCTTGGAGTGGGGTGGGGGTAAGGGTGAAATACTGTAAATGGAAGCTTTCTGCTTAAAAGCCAAGTGATTATTTTTATTAGTTCTTTTCATGATTGGAATAAAGAATCAGTCTCTAGTGCAAAATCTGTTCCTAGGCTCCTTCATAAAGCCAGCGATGTAAAAGGGGGAGGGAAAGCTACAACAGTAAATCAATGGATATTGAAAACCATTAAGAAAGTGGTACCTAGACACCTGTCATCACAATTATTTTAACTCTAGGTACAGCACAGATGTTGATGTATTGTGTAAGTCCCTTCAGAGTAATTTTTGTGCTGTTTGTGGACGGCAAAAAAGAGGAATTTCTGCAGTAATTACTTGCTCTCTTAACCAAACGGGTTATTTAATGATTTAAACACCTATAAATCCTAGATAGCCCAAACAGAGGAGCTTTCCATTGGAACACACTAGGCAGTGTGCTATAATCAGTTCAGTGGGAGAAATTCCATAGGGTTATAGGATGATAATGGCGAGTAAAGGATGGGAATCTATTGTATTTTCTAAATACTTGTTTTCCGCATTTTCAAAATTAAACAATACATCACTCTCTGCCCTCTCCCCCAAACCCTCCTGCATATATTTTTCCTGTATATTCCTCCTATATATTTGTTACTTGAATCAAATGGAACTGAAAGGCCAGGGCAAAGAAAAACTGTAGACGAAGGTGGTAACTGGCAGTGGAAGAGAATGGAGCCTCTGGATTTGTATCAGACCTGGCTGTTGGTCTTTCTTACTGGTTTTGTAACCCTGGGGATGTGGCCAAGTCTGTTTTCCTCATCTGATACTGGAACACTAGGAGCTACGTTATATAGGGTTGGTGTGAGGGTTCAATGAGTTTGATGTATAGTAAGCCCTCAGTGAATGCTATTATCCTTCCCTTGATAATTCAAATGCTTGAGATACTCCTCCACATAGAAGCAGCCTATTGTTCAAGAGACTAAAAGATGGCCACTGATGTGAAAAAATAATCACAGATCATGGATGTGAACCATCCAAGGACAATAGTGGCAATCCTATGGTCTCAATGATTTTAAAAGAAAGGGACTTTGTGAAAGCACTGTGGCAAAGAAAAGGTGCTAACTTAGTCAGAACACATGTTAATGTGGCCACAAAAATTACCTTCGTTCCAAAGTGTGAAAATTAGAATTCTAGTAAAAATTCGTCCTCCCTAACACCATAATAGTAAACTGTTTTTCTACAGGCCCATGATGGGTGGCTGGGGAGGGCCAACTCAACATAATTAAGTCAGCTTTCGATTCAGACCAAACTAGTGCTAGGCAGCAAATTTCTATTTATCTTGTCAAACTTTTAAAGTATGTAGGCTGGCGAGAGGCCCAGATTGTCAGATTTAGAATTTTACTGGAAAGAACACCCTTTGGAGACATGTGAGTGGATCGCTAAGGATCAACCACAAGTAAGAATGTTTTTGTGGGTAAAAGCAAACAATTTTTGACTATTAGTTACCCATGTTATATGCTTTTTCTTTTAGAAGGAGAAACAGATCTTAAAAAAAATAAATACCCATAGACACTCTTTTTGCATATAACAAAGTTGGTGTGTTATCATGCACTTAAATTTCTTTGGTATGCACACCAGAATACACCCTTAAATATTATCAATCTGACATTAAAGTTGCTCTAAGAACACTGCTTTTTTGTAAAATCTATACTGTCACTGAAATAAAAAAGAATAAATACTTTATTTTGGAATTTGTACCAACAAATAATTTGAGAGTAGCTCTTTTGTGAAAATTCAGTCAAGGTGAGTATCAATATAATGGTTTATATTTCTAAAACCATTTATGCTCCTACCACTGAATATGAAAAGTAGAAGTTAATCAAAGCAGTCATAGTAATTTTGTTTATGTTTAAAGCACAAAATTTTTTTTAAACGTATGTATCCCCTCCCCCCAAAAAATGAAAAAAGCCCCTGTCCTATTTCTGTTGTTCAATGTATTGCAACAAATCCAACAAATGTTTAAAAACACCACTGTTACATGCCACCAAGGAAGAAAAACTGCCAGTGAAACTGTGACATCCCCCAGTCTAGGACATAGACCTATTTCAGAGATGTTGAGAATGAAAATGTTCTTAGAATAGAACTTTTGTTAGTATTTTATTTAATATTTTAATTAGTATTAGTCATTTCCAATGACTTTGTAAGATTATTATAGTATATATGAATGCTTAGACTTCTGAAGTAGGTTTGTTCTTATGTCAGTAATTTTCTTAAAATGTAAGAAAACATGTGATAAACAACCTTTTATTAAAGTCAACCTTTCTGGCCAACTGACTGAGTATGTGCACACTGCAGTGTGTTAGGCCTCTGACTAATAAATAATGAGAAAAGATTGCTGTGTTCTCATTACTTAATTACACGTGCTTTATAACCAGTTCTCCATTACTGACATTTTTTCCCCCAAATACAGATATTTGGTGGCCCCTGCTAAATCAGTACTCAGTGTTCCCTCTGCTGGCTTTGCAGTACATGAAGTAATTCTTGATAATGCTGCTCTTTAAGTCATATTAACAGTAAACCAAGATAATTTTGCAAAATAATTTTTTTTTCTGTTTTAGGATAATAGACTATCTTTGTTAGCAATGATGTTAGACATTTAAAATTTTGAATTAAGCGAAATATTTTATCTTATTTATTTTCCATTAAGTAATGGAATTCTATTTGAGATGTAGTGTGATATCTGCTAATTCATTTCTTCTGCTCTCACACACCTGCACAACATAAAATCTCACAACATCCATAAAATAGTATGGGGTATAGATGGAAATAAGATTCTATCCCATTCTATCTCACTGCTTAATATATTCCTATAGTATAGAGGGGGTGGGGTGGGACCTGAAGGGAAATTAGTTTAACAATTCTGGATGTGCACTGGTTTGCACGATTTGCCTTGCCTTGGTTATGGAAACTATGATTGTAAGAGCTGGGCTAACCTGACATGTATTCAGGTAAAATATAAATAAAGGGGTTAAACAATATATATGGGGGAAAAAACCCTGTCTTTGTTACTTTAGCAGACAGGGAAGAAACCCTGGGAAATTTGATGTCATTGACCTTTGTCAACTGAAAGGCCCCCAGGCTTTTCAGTTCTACACTTTCTGGAACTGAAAAACATAACTTACACTTGTAGACAAACATAACTTACACTTCATCCTTTTGGGTTGATGAAGTTGTACTGGACTTCCTTTTGGTGGGTTGCATCGAAAATGAGTAATCAAAATAAGATGGAAGTATTTCTTACTTGCAAAATATCAAAATAGGATTCTGGAGTAAAATAAAACCCATGATATATTTTTACTCTTAGAATAAACTAAGAGATAAGAACCCTGCATTTCTACTAATTTTTACCATTTTCTCTCCCCTCCTAACCAGCCACTAGCATCTGATGGGCTTAAATCGCATTTCATATCAATGCCAACTCATTTTCCTTTCCCCTCAATTTTCTAATGAGAACAAGGAGAAAACGAGTGTTTGTGTGGGTCACGTAGATTGGAAGCATGAATAGGAGCCTTTGCTCCGTTTCACCAGGCCCAGGCCAGGCACAACCACGGGGAGCCAGGGTTTGCTCTGCCTCCAGCCGGCTCCCAACTTGGGGAGGAGCCGCCGCCAGGTGGCATCGCTGAGCCTCCCTGCGCCCTGGAGGAGACCTGGGAAAACGTGGGGGATCCACAGACTTCTTGCTTTTCCCCCTTCCTCCGCTCCCGAACTCTTATCATCCTCCACTACTCTATCTCCTTTAGCGGTTTAAACAATCAGCGGTTAATAGGGTGTGACGGTGAATTTTAATGATTTTTTTTCATAAATCAAAGTTTAGAGCAACCGATCGCCGCCTCCTGCTCACTTGTCAGAAGCTCCCCGATTTGGGGGAAGCCTGGTCGGCTATTTGGATCTAGCGACGGAACCCGGGAGATGATCAGTTTACCGCGTGCGTATCTGGCTGAAGCGGGAGCGAGTCAGAACGCGGTTTCTCCGCCAGCAGCCCTCCGCTCCCGAGAGCCGAGTAGAGAAGCGGCGCGCCTGCCTCGGGGACGAGCGAAGGCCACTCCTCCTGCCAACGTGGTTCCCTGGCCGGCGGCGGCCGCACCTCGCCTTTCCATTCCAGATACCGGGACAGAAAAAAAATTGGAATCGACTCAGGCTGTCCTTTTTGGAGGAGAGTCTTTCCTACTGTAAACGTGTTTCAGGCTATCCTGTCAGCAGCACTTGAACACCCGCCTTCCGTTTAGGCTTTACGACCGTGGAAGAAGCTGAAGACACGCGCACACGCGCAGCCCAAGTGAAGACACCCCCGCATCGTCACGAGCCCTTAGCCCCCCTTTAAGCTGCAACCGGCCGCGGCTGCCTGGGGGTCGTTCCCAGG